CTATGGGGAGGTTTAATGCGCGTGCGTGGCATTGCCGCGCATGCCCATTAGGTCTCCCCCACCGCCAGCCGCGCCTGCTCAATAGGTCTCCCCACCGGATGACGTTGGCGGGGGAGGAGCGTGGGCGGACCCTGACCCACCGCCGAGGGACATCGGCGCTGGGTACAGGTAAGTCACTGAAGGGGTTTTTAACCCCTTCAGCAACATGGGATGGGGGATGGGAGGGAGAGGGGACCTGCAGTGCCCGGAAAACGGTTTGTTTTCCTGGCACTGGAGAATCCCTTTACTTGTTAATTTTTATGCACATTTTATTATTGTGTTCTTCCCCCACATGATGACCAGTCCGGGAAAGGAGTACAATGGTTAGTCACTGGATTATATATCCAAAAGACATAACCTAATGGCTACCAAATTGGTCTCCATATGCGATATCGGTGGCAATGTTTTTGGTGGGAATTTGTTTTTACACATACCTGATTTGGTTCAACCCACTTGTGGAACCCAGGTGCACACAAATTAGAGGGGTTTATAAGTCTGAATTGTGTGGACAGCATCTAAGCTCTTCTTTGAAAAAGTCCTGAGGACGAAACCGGTCGGACGCATACGAAGCCTCCATAACTCTTTCTTCGCTCTATTTGAGACATCCTTATCCAGAACTCACTCCTTTATTACCCCTTGGAATCCAGAACCGTGGTGCATTGAGGAGCTGACTCAGAACATCTTGGAGTACCTTTGTGGCAGGTCTTTTGACCTATTGATGTGCCTTTCTGGCCACTGTTAGTGGCGGACCACTTGTGAGTGCATTAATCACCTTATCTTTTATCATTGTATCGAACAGTTTTACTCTGTTACTATGTTTTGTTTTATGTTTTTAAGTAATTAGAAGATGGAATATCTTTTCCTAACTGGAGTACTACCAGTATATTTCGGGAGACCAATAACCAGTGTATGTATATTATCTCACTTGTGATCCTCACACATGTAAATGTAGCACACCACACCATTTCCTTTGCCTTTCATAATATTTCTATTATGAATTTATTTTGCAGTATACCGATTGGCCCATTTTTGCACCATTTTGATTTGTCGAAATTATTCCCCCATAGTTGTTCGCGAAAGATGTTTGGCCGAACCATCACATTAACGAGCATCGGGGATCCAGAACAAAATTGTGAAAGAATTATTTGGCCAAACCGAAAAACAACCCCACCACGCAAAAGTCTAAATATTACCTGTTCTTTGGGGATGGGCCAACACCTGTGTAATAGGTGGGATGGATAAAGTAATGAATAATAGTAAATACATGATAACAACTTAAAGCACAATGAGCCGCAGAGGGAAGCGTTGAACAGTGCAATCCAGATCAATTGCCTAGACAAGAAGAAATATCTATTTATAATAGTAAAGTTAATATTCTACATGAGTGTGTACATCTCCTGAATAGTTACACACCTCATATAAGTTAAGGATGTTTCTCTGTTGAGTGTCATCCCAAGAGATTGATTGGAAATGTTGCATGGACTGCAGTGTCAGCAGGCTATAATTCAAATTAACTAAATTCAGGCCTTTTTCTGTTAAAGTTTTACTCCAACCACAAGGAGGGGGTGGGGGTGTGTGCTGCTGTTAGTCAACCATGCTGTTAGTCAAACATCACCACCATGCAATGCGTGATGATGATAGTTGTCTTTTATGCATAGAATTCACATTACCAACTCAGAACTTATATTACAGGCTGCACATGATGTTTCTGGGGGTGGACCTATACCTCTGGCAGCAAGACAAAATAATTCTGTATGCAGGGTGTTTCTTACATAAATACATCACATACAGATTCCAAGCACCATGACCACTTCATACCATAAAAGTGAAAATGGTTCTTAGAGTAACCCTGTAAGAAGAGATGCTTCCAATATGAATAGTTGATTTGACACCTGTGTTGCCACATACTCCGTAGTCCGAACCAGACACCATATCTTGTCTGTAACAAGTTAGATTCAAGGTTATCTGCCCCAGGGGTCTGCAGGCTGTAGTAAAATGAATAGAATTAAAACCCATTGTCTACGGACAAGAGACGAATTCCATGAGCCTGGTTATATTGATTTTTGAGGTTTGTCACCCGCTCTATAGTCTGAGTCTGCCTATTACAATCACGAGGCAGAATTCAGGCCCATGTTTCTCTGACAAGAGGATGTTTTTCAGATGACCAATTAAATCAGCACCTGTGCCATCAATAATGAGGAATACTATAGACCTATATAGAGGAAACCTTGGCATAGTATTTGAGCAAATTATTGATTATTGATTGATTACGTAAGTGCATTTATGGGGATTTTAAATATGTTCCAATTTATTAAAATTAAAGATAACAGTAGTCTGAAACTGCCACCTTTTTTGCTTGTATATTCTAACACTGTTTTGTGGAGCCTCCATGATTACCAGCGAGTAAGAATAATGGGTTTGAATAAAACCAGTTCCGCATGTATAGCTTTTATGGCTCGTTTTCAGTTTGCCCCTTTTTGCTCCCCTATTTGAGCCAAAATATAAATTACTGCACCATTTTCATCATATGGCCTATTACTATTTCATTCTTTTTTTTTGTACGCAAATTTGTTTCTCCTACTGTATAAACATGCACCTTTTCTTTCTGTCAAAGTTTTCCACTTTTTGGAGTTTTTTTGTAACAGTTAAGCAACTTTTACATTGTTTCTTTTTTTGATCAATGTATTTAAAAATCCTTTAAACTATGAATGTGTATTTTTCCTGAGCAAATGTTTTTTTTTATTTTATTTTTTTTTAAATAAAAAAATTAAACCGGTGCCTGTAATCACATCAATGGTAAAAAAAAAAATGTTTAAAAAAATTAAAAAGTGCCAGAGAGAAGGACAGATTTAGTGCACTATCGGAAATGCTGGAAAAAATTAAACCACTATAAAAAATTATGTAGTTTTATACATAAGAAAATGGCCCATGCAAAGTTCATGTGCGTGAACGTGAAACCAAACGCGACACTCTTTGTACGTAATCCCCACTGTGTGAGTATTCTGCATGTTTTCTGTGTCACTTTTTATGACAAAATTAAAGAAGCTTAGGATCAAAAATACTTTTTTTTTGGTTGCAGTTAAAAAGTGCAAATAATACTAACAGGATTATTTACTAAAGTCAGAATTCAAAGTGAATTTAAAATGTATGGTCAAAATAACTCAACTAGAAGAATTATCTAAGTCAGTTACGTGTCCAATTCAGCTACGTGTCCAATTCAGCTATCCTGGTGTTAAATTTGGAATTCACTTTGAATTCTCACTTAAGTAACTAACTTCAATAGTGTCATGCTTCAGTATTGAAAATGCACAGTGGAACAATTACAAACAGCACAAAATCAATGTTCAGTGACACATATTAGTTTTGATCTATGCCCAGCCTTGTTGGACAGACTATATCTAATAGGAAGGAATGCCAATGTCCCCTTTATTTAGACATTCCAAGATAGTTTGATTATGGAGGCTTGTGGGTTTGGATTTTTAAATTAGAATCAACCTCTATTTCTAATACACAAGACACACTACTAAATCCAGGTTAGACTTACATTTTATAGTTTTTAAATGCAGACAACTCTGCCTATTTCTGTCTACTTGCCAAGCTATGTTTGGAATATTTCACTTTATGTACCCATCCTATAACCCAATTCATATTAAATGTACAAAGTACAGAAAATAGATTTTAAAAAACACACACATTATTTAGTGACAAACTGCAGATGTAAAATGAAAAACCCAGGACAAACACAGAGAAATGTTAGTGTAACATTAATGCATTTGCTAAACTGTAATGTGTAAACAGATCAATGATATTCCATGTTATTTTTACATTCTGTGCATTTTGCTGAAAATAGTAGAAGTGAAGTTGATGCCTTCTCCTCAATGTTAAAAAAAACAAACACACAATATATTATTTTGAATATATTTTTTTTAAATTGTATTTAGCCTGATGTATATTCCAGGTGTTTGGTGACATCTCACTTGTAATAATGAGACATTCTAGAGGTGTAACCATTTTATACTCTGGATTAATATTTGACAATGTTCTGAGAATTATCCCCTATAGACTGTTCAGGTAACATCTGCTGAGTTTTTTTTTTTTTGTTTGTTTGATTTTGAAATATCTGCCTTTGATACTGTGGTTTTGTTGCATGTATAATATTTTGTTTCAATTACCAATTTCTGGATTTTAAAGTGTAGGCAAACAGTTCGAAATGCTACATTTCTAAATAAAAGTTTTTTGTTTTTTTTTCTATTTGGCAAGTGGTTTCTCTCCCTCCCCCTCCAGTTGTAAATGTAATGAAATTGGTTAAAAGCCCTATTAGTTTTAAGATTTTGAAATGTTTAAATAAATAGAAGGGCAATTAAGTCAGACACACTAGTAAAAACAAGGCATTAAAATACAACACAGCATGATACCAATATTTTCACTCTTTTTAATGTGTCATGGATATTTATATTGAGCTAAATTCAGGAACCACAAGGAAAATACCTGTAAGTGTCAGGAGTATTTTCTGTGGTTCCTTACTTCTCAATCTCCCTCTGTATGGATGTAACATAAACAATGTAAAAAAAAAAATTAAAAAAAAAACACAAATCGAAAGTTTGAACATTATAATAGATTAACTGCACATATACATACATATATCTCTATTATTATTTACATCTGTGCTTCCCAGTATATCCTTACTGGCTATCGTGTGATCTAGTTCACTGAATTTACAGAGATCAAACATAGGTCTTATCTGGTAGGTTGATACCTGAAGATGTGAGTGGGTTTGAATGGTGATGTATCTGAGGTTTACCACCATTAATTCGTCTCTTTTTTTTTTTTTTTTTTTACATTCCACAATAGCATTCTGTCTGGATCCAGGTTGATGCACAAGAGTTCCTGAGTATTCTGTTGGAATTAATGTAACAGAATCCTGGAATGTTATGTGTCTCTGGTCTGGCTTGAAGGCAAGGTCACCATCTCCAGGAGAGGCTTGATGGCTGAGACAAATGCTGTTGGTGGTGATAACCGGGGATAAAGTTAAATGCTGCTGTGGATTGCAGTGAGGGAAACACCTGTAGTCTTTGTCTGTGGTTGGTAGGAGAACAAACATGGCATGGCTTCCCATCTCTGACCAGTACTGGTACCATGACTTGTTTTAGGAAAGGTAGAGAACTGCTTCCCTCAGGTTTTGCCCTCTTCATCTTGTAGCGATGGTTCTGGAACCAGATCTTGACCTGTGTTGGGGTCAGGTGAAGGATATGAGCTAGCTGGTCTCTTTCTGGGGCAGACAGGTAACGCTGTTGACGAAATCTTCTCTCCAGTTCCAAGGTCTGGGCCTTTGAGAAAAGGACTCTACGTTTTTTCTTCTTGTCCTCTTCTGGAGTATGAGAAGACTCCTCCACCCTTTGAATTGTATCCGGTAATGTTGCCTCTGAGCCACTCTCATCTGATGCTGGAAAACATAAAAAAATATGTTTAATAACTTATTTCAAATAATCAATACACTTATATTGACTACATCACTGACTAAAAAAATTTAAAGTTGGTATTAAAGAAGAACCTCTAATCACATAATTATCAAATGAATACAATGTAAATTTTTTATCCCAAGGTGATAAAAAATTATATAACAACTTAAGTCATCATAATTATCTTTATCATTGTATTTGTAACTTACACAAATATGGATTCTTCTCACTTTCCAACCATTCTTGGTAGGCAGTAGTCCTGTTGTAATTAATTCTTGAGTCTGTCTGTATATTGTTGCCTTCATAATCTGGTAGGTCCAATATTCTTCTGACCGTGAAGCTCAGTCTGTCAGAAGAAGACATGGCTGGTCTGCTTAGTAGATAATACTGTATAAACAGCTAGGGTATTGTGACTATTGGTGGTCTACAGCTTGGTCAGCAGTTGCCTCTTCCAAGATTCGAGCTCAAATATTAGTGTCACTTACTCTGAGATGCTGTTTATATAAACAGTCCACCCCATTTACACACAAACACAAACTAAGGGCTTTCAGACCGTCCCTGTCTACAGGATGCTAAGTACCAAAATGAGTCAAGTGCTAAGGACCCTAATGGGAAGAAAAGACCCTCCTCTCCCCTCCACTTACCCTCACTCCTCCCCAGATAACCCTTACCTCCCAATGACAACAGGAAACAAGATTCATCTTTACATATTCTGTCTGATTAGCCCAAAGTGGGGACAGATAATGGGAATTGTTACCAGTGAATAACATCTTGGGTGGCAAAGCAGTGACCAACACCCCCCCTCCTCCTAAAGTAACCCTACCCCCCTGCTCTAAAAACTACAGCACCAGAGAGATGGACCCCCTCCCCTCCTTGTAACCAAGGGATGCTTCAACGTGAGTTACAGCCACAAATTAAATAACTAAAATGATTGATTCTGTTTTATGGGGAAGTCAGATCTATTCATGCGATGGTTGGGATACTTTGTTAATGGAAATCCTTCAGTTTTATTCAGAAGGGTTTCTCCTGCAGATTTCATTTGCATCCACCTGCCTTGTGTGAGATAGTGCAAACTATTCATTCTTCCACTATCTCCCCCTCAGACCTGTTGAAAAGAATCTTGCTTCTGCTGATAAGGGGCTGTTTACTTTCACTTTGAATTATAAAAGGAGTCTAAGAGGGAATATAAATGCAAGAGATTATCCTGATAAGAGTCTTGTCTGTAACTTAGGTTTTTTTTTAGACCTGTTCCCCTTTGTTTAATTAACAGTTGTTTTCCCTTTTAGAGTTTTCTGTGATTCAAACTTGCAAATCTGTTTTCATCATTACACTAGTATTTTGTTCAAAATTGGCACAAAATTGAAAACAAAGGACATGTGTACTTTATCTCCAACAAAGCAAACCCTTAAATCCCACTGGTTGGATCACAAAATGATTTGCACCATTAGAAACAAGAAAATTACAGAAAAAAAAGAGAATTACTATAAGCAGGGGAGAGGGAGGGGGGTAATTGCAAAATATTGAAGTATTGCAGTTTCTTTTAATACTTTTTATATTGAAGTAACAGAAAATTGTAGTGGCAAGTTTCCAGGAATTCCTCCCTTTGTCAAATCTAAAGCATTTTTCAAAGAGACAAGGATTGGATAGTTTAAAAAAGCAGCAAACATTTTGATGTAAATTCTTGGATTTTATTTGCTAAATTTTGGAGACTATGAAAGATGGTCCCTGCTTGGTGTTTTATTTAAAATAGAATTTCATTTGGTTATGAGTTATGACATCCATTTTATATATGTATATATATATATGTTATAATATACATATACACACACATATATATATTATAACATGAACACACTAAAATAAAAACTATAAAATATGTGAAAATCCCAATCAATAACTTTAATATCTGTTCCAAATCAGATCCTGCAATTGTATCTTTCATTTAGATTCCGGGCAATAGCCATGTAAGTTTGCATTTAGAACTAAATGTGTAAGTTCTTGGATGCTGTTGAGTGATAATTCATTTGCTCTAACACTCTTAAACAGTTAAAGTAGTTCTGAAGGACCATTGGTCTTGGATGTAGAGAGACCCTTGTGGAGTGGTTCAAGAACCTGTTGTCTTGAGTATTTCCTAACCTTGTTATTAACAAGCAGGAAGCTGTTTGGAGTGATGTTTTGTTGCCATATGTACCTGTCTGATAGCATGCATGTCACAGAAATAGATAAATCTCTGTGTGGATTTAGCTGTATAGGGACTCCTGTTGGTGTGCACATATATGTGCTTGTCCAGTCCTGCTGACTTGGTGTATTCATTGAATTTATAATATTACTAGAAGGTAAATAAGCGGTCTTTTAGTGTTTCTATAAGTAATGCAGCTATTAACTAGAAACAGCTGGGCAAAGGGCAATCACTCACTGGATAGAGAAGGTAAGGAGATGGGAGCCTAATTTTTAGGATATGGCAGAGGGGTGTGAGGAGCAAATTCTAATATATGTACTCATGACAAACTTATTTAAATATGAAGACATTTGGTCTTAGTGGCACGTGGAAATAGGATTGCAGACGGGACATAGGAGGCAGGAAGGAAGACACACTGCTACTCATACACACACACACACACACATTGATACACACAGAATCTATACAGACATACAAAACATATGCATACACTTACACTCTTACTCTATATGTCTACGTGTGTATATAATATTTTTTCTTCATAGAAAAATAACCACATTTTAAAATTTATTTATATATTTATTTATTTAGAGTTTGGAAAAGTGAGTATGGGGGTGGGGGGCAGAAAGAAATAACAAGATAAGAGTGTTATGTCCAAGTACGACAATAAACTTTTATTGGACCAACCTTTGCTGCTATTCTGCTTGAACTACCATATCCGTGGTGGGGATTGTACCACCCACGCCCGAGGGATAGAGCAGTCCACATCTGCTCCATCAAATGTGAGTAAATTTCTTTATCACTTTAATTGTATTCTGTGCCTTATGGTACACACTATTTTGGTTTCTCCTTTTCCTCCTATATTTCTGGAGGGAAAAGACCATAATTTATACTTACAAGTGGGCACTACACAATAATATCCTATGCCCATATCCGCACAGCTGCTTATGTTTCCACCATTTGAGTGACAGCAGCCACCAAGAACCACACTATATCCATAGGCGGGGATTGTTCCGCACAGGCGTTCAAGTTGGAGCTACAATTTGAGCTCCAGGAAATTGTGAGTGTATTTCTTTTCTTTTATTCTATTTATTTGGACAGTGACATACTACACTATATATTTTCCTTTTTTTCTTCTTTTTCTCCCTGCTTTTATATATATGTTTTAAGGACACTTTAGGCTCTGTACCACTCCTTGTACTTTCACCACAATAAACTGCATGAGGCCCCTGGCAAGAGAATTCACCCGTTGCCATAAAACTCTACCCAGGAAACCCAGGAGACATACTTTGTAGTAGAGGTGTACTGCGTCCGTACAGAAAGTACTTAAATCAGAGTAAAATCTGTAACAGTCTAAGAACATTCTGTGTGATGTAATACCATCTGTCAGTACATGAAGTAGTATAAGGAACAGCAGTTATAAACTTTATATCAAGGTATATAGTCAACATGCACCTCCACATTGGGGGTTGAAAAATATTTCTAGGGGGGCGGAAGCCTGAGGTACAAACAGGGGAGTGCCCTGGTGAACCTCCTGATACTCTACCTGAACGTTTGTTGCAAGTCCGGAGCCCCTGGGAGGCAACCCAGCAACGTCAGGCACAGAGGGTGAAGACAGTTGTAGAAAATAATCCAGACACTCCAAATTGTTCCAAACAATAGGCAATTTTTATTGGACCCAAGAACCACACAATGTTTCGACCCCTTAGGGCCTTTATCAAGCAGGTGTGGCATATCAAGCACTGAGGGACATCGCACTGGAACCAGGTAAGTGACTCAAGGGGATTATAACCCCTTCAGTGCCATGGGAAACTATAGTTTCTCTTTAAGTCTTAAAATAATATTAATATAGTTACATTATTGTTTTAAACGTAATACCCATCACCATAAGTCTCTCATGGCCATTTTCACTGTATCCCTACATAATATAAGTCATTCCAACTGTCCCAAATTCATCAGGACAGTCCCTATTTAAAGGACCACTATAGGCACCCAGACCACTTCAGCTTAATGAAGGGGTCTGGGTGCCAGGTCCATCTAGGTTTAACCCTGCCTGCTGTAAACATAGTTTCAGAGAAACTGCTATGTTTACATTAGGGTTAATCCAGCCTCTAGTGGCGGTCTCATTGACAGCCGCTACAGGCGCTTCCGCGCTTCTCACTGTGATTTTCACAGTGAGAAGACGCCAGCGTCCATAGGAAATCATTGAAATATGCCTTCCTATGGACTGACTAAATGCGCGCGGGGCTCTTGCTGCACATGCACATTCAGCGGATGATGTCGGAAGAGGGAGGAGAGTCCCCAGCGCCGAGGGTGCCTGGTGCTGGAGAAAGGTAAGCTTTTAACCCCTTCCTCCCCCTTCAGCCCGGAGGGAGGGGGACCTACAGGGACTAGAACCATGCAAAAAAAACATTCCAGCAGCGCTCTCTGTATGGTTATGTATGTTGGGGCGGTCTGTCAGCCTGGCATGCTTTTCTGGAAAGGCTCACCCAGAAGTAGCCTCCAACCCACAAGTTGCGACATGTTGCCTCACTGGCAGTGTCCCCCAATCCTCGCCTACCCATGTCCTTAGTAACGCTTCATATATATATATATATATATATATATATATATAAAAAACAACAATAATTCCTGCACTCCAACCCAAAAAATGTTAATACCTGGTGCTCTGGTTGCAAAATTAATAAATCCAAAAAATTACCGGCACTCACGGTTTTCTCAATCCAAACAATTTCTCTTTATTCCAAATCCACCAATTGTTTGGATTGAGAAAACCGTGAGTGCCGGTAATTTTTTGGATTTATATATATATATATATATATATATATATATACACACACACACACACACACACACACACACACACACATCTACATGTCTTAAATCCTCATAGAATGTAAGCAGATCCTTCTTCACGTTCATATATCTATATAAAGCTCTGCACTATATATTGATGATAAATAGATTTTACTTCTAATTCACAGACCCTCCCAATTTCTTTTTATGAATCACTAGGCCTGTGAAATGAAATCTTCAGGAAAGCTGACTGGATATGCCTAGCAGACTAGGTAAGTGTCAGAAAGTTTTACTACATACCATTGAACAGGGACAGAGTACTCCTGGGATCATATTCTCTATAATGGGGTGTAGTAGTTATGGTACCAAGACTGCCACCCTTAAGGTA